TAGGGTTCATGTGGCATGGCAGAAAGCAGTGGCCAAGCTTTGTCTGCAAACACGTTCCCTAGAGGAGCGCACGCTGCTGCAGTCAGCTTGCCCAGTCAAGCCGGAAGTATGGAGAGAGGCTTTGCGGTCAGGGTCAGCTGTCTGATTGGGTCAGTTGACAGCCAAGCTACTTTGATTCCTAGATGGTTTGCTATAGGCCATGTGTTTCCACTTCCTACCAAGACCACGCCCAGGAGCCCTGTGCTTACTCCAGACCAAACCTTCTCTCTTCAGCTAGACCAGCAGAGAAGGGAAGGGTCTAAAAGGGGTAGGCCCGGTTAAACTGCACCTCTTCTGTCTTGCCACTGAGTGTCACCCGTGTGCCATTTGCAAGAGGAGCTTCTGCCTTGCCACAATGGTGATTAGTGGGAGGCCCAGAAACAGCTCACAGGCCACCAGGTCAGAGGCCATGTGGGACAGGACTTCAGCCAGTGGTCGAACAGATCTGGTAGTTACAAGTGACTGGCCCAGCTGGCTGCCAGCAATTCACATCTGCGACTGGCGTTGGAGGGTTTTCCAGGCCTTTGAGCTCCCACACCCCTGACATCACAAGCCTCAAGCTGTGCCTAGCCTGCCGTCTGGGTTGAACAAGCAAAGGAAGTAGGCTCGAATCCAGGAACTCTCGGTGCCTGGCTTAGCTTGGACCATGAGCAGACTCACCTAGCTGCTGCGCTTCTAGGCAGCTTCCCTTTCTTGGTTCTCTCGTCCTGGTAGAGAATTTCAATTCTTGGCCCAAACAATACAACCCCAACCCGAGTGCCGGCAGGGAGTTTGCGACTAAAATTCAAACGCCAGGCCCTGGGAGGTCAGATCAGGCTCCTTCTGCTCCTCAAACTGAGCAGGAAGCAAGATGTTTTCCTCATTCATGCGCTTTAGTAAGATTTAGTTTTAACGTCCGTTTGAATAACAATGTGTTGCCTCCTTTAGGGAGCAATTCCACACGGCAGGGAGATCAGCAGCTAGCCCATGCTGTCTCAAAGGCCAGACAACACATGGACCCATCTGGATGGGATCCCACAGCCTCATGCTTACAAAACTCCTGCTCGAGACAACTGAAGCGGGCTGGAGCCAACTCACCTGTGTATTGGAATAGAGATGGGGAGGGGGTGGGGGTGGAAGTGCTCCAGGGGGGTAGGGGTAGCCGGGGCTGCCAAAATTCATGACTCCAGGAGGGGAGAAATAGGTGGGCGTGAGCAGCTGCTGTGGGGGCGGTTGCCCAGGCGGCATGGAGACCGGTGGAGGATATAAGCCAGGGTTAGCCAAAGGTGCTGGCGTCTGGTGTGGATGTAAACCTAGGAAATGAAAAAATAAATCCCCCTTGGATGTCGCCTCGGACAGGGCTGGGACTGCTTGGTTGCCAAAGCAAATTAGCGTCTCTGGGTCCGGCTTGCTCTGACCCAACAGGAAGGGCGTTTGTAGACACCTTGGTATGCGACCACGCCAGACTAATGCCTGCGCTGACTGCGGCAGGAGGGGTCACGCACCGAGTAGAATGCTGAGAGCGGGGAGTCTTGCAACACATGGATCATATTCAAATGGACTCAACAGTGCATCAGTCAGTTACACACTATGCGGCAACAGCCCTGGATCAGCCTTTGGGACCAGCCTCAATGACCTGCTGTTTCCCAGATTTCTGAGACCTTTCAGACGTCATTGCTGCTGGGCCGGAAAGGCTGCCAAGCGTCCCCGTACAAAAGGAGGGCAGCGGGCTGCTTCAAGCTTTCCTTAAAACGGGGCCGAGACTCAGCCAGTTATTCTACCCCAAACCAGCAATGTTCTGCCCAGAAGTTCCTAAGGCTTCCTCACCAGGCTTTGGTGTGGCCATCAGCCAAGCAGATGCAGCAGCTAGCAAAACAGTCACATGACCAAGCACAGCATCTAACAAAGATGACGCCACTTCTGCATGGCATCAGCACGGGAGCGAGCGTGACTGACTGACAAGGCCTAAGAAACGGACACGTGGCTTCGCCAAGGTCCGCCGCAGTGCTCAGAGAGGCTGGCGAGCAGCCCGTTTTACAGACAGGGACACGGATGTTAAAAGCCTTGCCTAAGGCCAGAATGAGTCTTTGCCAGCTGGATTCCAACTCAGGAGTACTTGCTCCCCGGGCCTATTCCAGACTGGACTTTCCTCAAACGCAAGGTTAGCAAGTTGGCTTGGGAGGGCAGGGGGGTGGGGAGACAGTGTCTCACCTGGATGTGGGAGGTGCATTTCCGGCTGCACAATCATACCCTGGGGGGGTAACGGGGCAGGAGTCTCACTGTGGGTGTAGATTGGTCCTTGGAATTGTACTGCAAGAGAAAACAGTTTGCAAGGAAACAAATGTTATTTAGTTTTTCCTGCTGTAACGAGAGTCGCGTTGATTACAGGAGTCACAGCATTGGAGCCCTGCTGTGCTCAAACACTGTCAATTGTGCGTGCCGTCCAGCGTCAGGATCCCAGCCGAGAGAGCTCCCGGCAAGCTCCTACCTGTAACGGAACACAGCGTAGCTGCCTCTTTCAAGGCTTTTAATGTTCTGACGGATTTTCAGCATCTCACTTACTCCCTCCAATCTCTCCCTCACAAAACGCCAATGAAACTAGTATTTCTACCAAGGTTCAAACTCCACTTCTCAATTCTAGAACATCGTGGGAGTTTCCAGAGCTGCAGACGCCAAGCCGAAGACGCCGGCAATGCTGGGAGCTGCTTTCCAAAAGGGAGCCGGGATTACATCCAGAACACTCAGCTGTTATGGACATTTAAGAACGATTTGAGGGAATCGTTTCACATTAAGCTTTGACATTTTAACCCTACCATTACGGGCTCTACCACTAGCCGACCACGGCCCTTTCAAGAGGAAGGAGCTCTTCAAGAACTCATGAGAAGCTCCCAATAATTAACTCGGTTTTAAAGAGCAGCTTCTGACATAACCAGGCTCCCCATATGGGCCCCTCCCCCCAGTCAGAGCTCATTTCTGAGCGCGCTAAAGCTTGGACAGAAGAGGAACCGGAGCTGTAGCACTCACATGGATCGTAATAGTGCCCTTCCATGATGCTGATGTGCATTGGGGGAGCAGGCTCCGGAACTGGCGGCCGCTGGCGCTGGGATGAGTAACGCTTGGCACGGCCCGCCTGTACTCCCTGAAAGAGTCCAAAGGCATCTGTGAGCTAGAGTTACAAAGAGGAGTCTGCCCCAGTTCACACCAGCGTTACCCACCCAACCTTCCTGGGAACCTACATTCAGCTTAACACACCGAAATGGCCCACGCTTCTTACACAAGGAACGGAGAAATGCAGGCATGCCACAGCCAGGCTCTGGCCATTCAAGCACAGGACCAAATCAACGCTTTGGTTCAAAATTACTAAAAAGAAGAGTCCCACTGCATACAAGATTCCCTGCTTTACCATGTCCTCCATCCTGTTAAACGGGGGTGGTGGTCCAGCTCCCATGTGCATATGATTAGGAATACCTGGGAAAAGAGACACGCTGGTTACCAAGTCGCATGCTCGTCTTTAATAAGCGATCTTACGTGTCAGAGCCTTCCTGGGCAGTCGTCTTTCTGGCTAATAGGGGTGTGAATAGTTAACCAGTGGGGGCTACTGCCGTGGGCCTGGCCCTCCTGTAGCAGCGTGCCGTGGGCAAGGGCAGCTCTGTTTAAGCCGTTAACCAGTTTAACCATTAAACATTGGGTTTAACAGGATTTTACATCCCTCCCACCTATATGAAATGCAGGACAGAAAATGTCACTGTTTTAGAGAAATTAGTGTGCTGTGAATACCAACCTAGGCCTCGCAAATTTCAGTGACAATGTATAATTCACGAGAAGCTTCGACGATGAAATAAGTTCTCCAAATTACAGCGCGTATTAGAGAAGTCAAGGGTTTATACATTGCAGTACTAAGTACAAAGGGACTTTGACAATTATTTTATCAGTGTCACTGGCTCTGCAGCTGTACAAAGCGTATACAAAGAGGAGAATCCAGACATGGAATACCCTGGATACAGACCAAATCTTCTAACATCTTGCTAAACATCACTTGGCTTCCACTCCTATTCTCAGATCTCAGCAAAGCTCTGAGAGTTTGGGGCCAGGGTTGGGTCTTGCTCCTGAACAAGTGTCTACATGGCACCTTATAGCTCCAGCTGAAACTCACTACAGCCAGGCAGCCCTGATCATGGGTTTCTAAACACCAGTTTTCAAATTCAAGCTGCAGAAAGTCACAGGCCACAACAGTAGTTGTGGGAGCAAAACATCACTCCTTTTATGAGTCCGCTGGACAAATGTATGAGGGTTGCATGGAATGGTGGGGGGTAGGGCTCAGCGGCCATTGAGCTCACTTCCTGTTTACATCTGATGTTCCCAAAAGCTCTTGCAGCAGGCTTCAGCCAGCCACATGCTGGGGGAGGAGGCGGGGGCGAGGCAATGTGTTCCAACTTTGTGGTGGAGATGCTGTCCCACCAGGGCCCTGAGGTGACACTGATCAGCCAGCCTCAGGTGTTGGGCTGGCTGGTTCTTGCTCACATGCACAGGACCTAACTCATCGCTATGTGGGGGGTTGGGAAGGAATTTTCCTTCAGGTGACCTACGGGTTTCACCTTCCTCTGCAGTGTGGAGGTCACTTGCCAAAATTATCTGGGTGCGTCTGTCTCAATTGTTTCCAGCCACTGCATGTCCTCAGGCAGCGGTGCTCCTGGGCCCCACAACTGTGCACCTACAGCACATCATAATCTAGCTTCCTGAGGGCTGTGGTACTTCTGTCTCCTCTCCGTCCCTGTGGTTAGCAAGTGGGTGGCCCACGACAGCAGGATGGAGCAGATCGGACCCTGAGCTCTGACTACACATACAAATCTCAATGATGGTATCAGAGCGCAACACTCCCAGAGTGCCCTCATGCAGCAGGCCACACCACAAGTGCTCCTGCCTCAGTTTCCCCTCCAGGGTAACCCAATGACTCTGCTTCAATGATGCCCTTCCTTGGAGACAGCTTATTATGAAAACCAAAATGTAGCCTCTTTGGAGAGGAAATAGGGAAACGCTTCCAGCCAGCCATTGGTAACAGCTGCTTTGTACTGGACAGAGTCTGTCCTTCAAACTAAGGGGAGTTTTTCATAATCTTTCTGCTATTAAACTAAGCAACTCTGTATCAGCAGCAAACCAACCCATGTCTGCAAGCAGGCACCAATGCCATTCAGCTTCCGAGGCGGACAGCAAGCAACCTGCATAACAGCTGGCATCGTGGGGCAACATTTAAACACAACAAGGTCAATTAATTTTTCTGCAGGGGGTCATGGGGCCTATAGCCACAGAAAGCAGATGGGTTCAAATGTAAAGCGGTCTGCTTCAGGCAAGAGTAAATGGCCTGGAACTGAAAGTACCTGCTCTAGAGTAGACCCCTGAGATCAGAGCCTGCAATTCCGGTAAGCTAGGTGTTCTGGCCCTAATGCTTAGGCCAGGGATGGGGACTCTACAGCTTGCGAGGCTTGGGGCTCCCCATCCCCCCTCGCAGTGGGGCAAGTCGGCACTGGCGCTCCAGCCATGCAGGGAGCACCATGGCTGGAGCCTCATTGCCGGCTCTCCTCTGCGGGGGGGAGTTGAGGAGCTCCGGAGCCTTGCAGCCCGATGAACCCAGTCCATAGGCTCTAGCAGGCAGTGGGAGGAAGCAGCTCCACACCCTACAACATGGGTTCCCAAACTGGGGGACGTGCCCCCCTGGGGGGCATGCAGAAATTCCAGGGGGGGGGCACAAGGCAACCCAGCCCTCCCCTCCCCCCATCAAGTTTTGCTGCCCTGGTCAGTTCCTTGGTTTTTCTGCTCAACAAATTTTGCTGCTATGGGGGCAGGGGGGGGGTGGTTCTCAAAAATCAAAAAGGGGGCGTGATGCCAAAAAGTTTGGGGACCACTGCCCTCCAGGGAAGTGTTTCCTGCAAGCACTGCCCCCCATGTCCATTGGCTGAGATTCCCTACCTTCAGCCCAGGCTAGGGATTGAAATGTAATCAGTGAACTGATGAGCATCGGTCCCTATTAACTCCTGCAGGCTCCTGGCGGGGCTGGCGAGTGTTTAACTGTCACCACTGGAATTTTAATCGGTTACTATTTTTAAATCTTTTTTACATCCCTAGCCTAGACTCCTGCCCCATCACCCCACTGCTGCACCCTACAATTGCTGCCCACACCCCGCTCCTGCACCCCCCACCCTGCTCCTGTACCCTATATCTCCCACCTACACCCTGCACCTGCCGCCCCCACTCCTGCACAGACCCCTCTCAAAGTGTTAATCTGGTGCTAGGGGATGGAGGGGGGGGGAGTCCTGAGCCGCAGCGCTCTCCTCCCTCCCCAAGGCTGGAGCTTGAGGAGAAGCTCTTTTTTTCTGCTTCTCATTTGGGGCCCACGTCTGTGAGGGTCCCCCTCCCCCTTTCTCCTCACTTGGGGGCCAAGTCAGTGCTGGAGCAGGGTATTGGGGTTTTTTTTTGCACTTCTCAATTGTGTATCGGTCCCGACTGATCTTTCTGCGGGCCAACGACCCCCCCAACCCAGGAAAGGTTCCCCACCTCTGGCTTAGCCAATGAAGCTATCCCTCCAGCTCTAACAACAACAGCCCTTTCTAGCCACAGCGGCTGTGCTGCCTTCAGCGGGGAAAGCTGCTCCGAGCCCCGTGGCACTTACCTCGAAGCTCCCGAGGCTGTATGAACGGAGGCTGTCCCGGGGTCCAGGTCTGCTCGGTTAGATTCAGCTGAGTCATGTCTTGCTCCAATCCATCCAGGCTGGCTTCCACTGGCGACTCCCAACTCCCAGCCTTTGCAGGAGGAGGGGGGCTCGCGACCTGTACCGGTTTCGGAGGCACGGGCGCCGACCCTTCTGGAGGGGGCACTTCATCGGCCAGCTTCCCTGCATCGCCGGCTTTAACCCTAGTTCTCCTCACCCTGGAGTAGGATTTCTTTTCAATGGGTCTGTCTGGTGGCGGCTGGGCAGAGTCCGTGCTGGGGGTCTGGCTTTCCAAAACCAGCTCTTCCTTCTTGGCAGGGCTGCTGTGGACAGGGGCCATCTCTGCTTCAGGAGAGGGGTCCCTCTCGGGGGCTTCTTCCACACGCCTCGCCCGGGTACTGCTGTCGTGCTTAGCCTGCTCCCCTGCTCGAGAGAGGTGCTGGCTGTTTGCTTCCACAGCTCGGTAGCTTGGCCGGTTCTCTTTGTAGCCACCCATCCTTGGAAAGTTCCTGGCTGGGGGCATCCTCCCGGTGCCTGCTGCGTTGCGGCTGGTGAAGGTCCGTGTTGGCAGCGAAGCACTGTCTGAGCTCTCGTGTCTCGGCGGCTTGGCTTGCCTCTCGTTGGCCCAGTTCACCTCGCGCTGCGGGGGGCTCCCAAACCTTGAGGGTGAAAACGGTGAGGATGAGAAACAAGCCCCCGAGTTGCACCACTGGGAGACATTTACAGACACCCCCCCCATCTCCGCCCCCAAGATGCCTTCCCAAAGGGTATGTCTAGACTACATGACTCGGTCGAC